TTCAGTCCATAACAAGGTTAAAAAAACACCTACTCTAAAAAAATTTTTTAAATTTATTGCCCATATTGTTCAATTTTTAAAAGAACATAGGCATTGCAAACTAATTTGGGGATGAAAAACAAACTGTAAATGTATCATAATTAGAGATTTTTTAAAAATAAATTTATTTATTTTTGGCTGTGTTGGGTCTTCGTTGCTGAGCGTGGGCTTTCTCTAGTTGTGGCGAGCGGGGGCTACTCTTCGTTGTGGTGCACGGGCTTCTCATTGCTGTGGCTTCTCGTTGCGGAGCACGGGATCTAGGCACGTGGGATTCAGTAGTTGCAGCACGCAGGCGCAGTAGTTGTGGCTCACGGACTCTAGAGCTCAGGCTCAGTAGTTGTGGTGCACGGGCTTAGTTGCTTCACGGCATGTGGGATCTTCCCGGACCAGGGCTCGAACCCGTGTCCCCTGCATTGGTAGGCGGATTCTCAACTACTGTGCCACCAGGGAAGCCCCATAATTAGAGATTTTATCATATCTTTTAGTTTCCTAGATATAGAACCTCCACTTAAGTTGTACTTTTAACAGTACCTTTTTATTATAATATATTTTTTATACAAACTTTTAAAGGAACTCATGTTTGCAAGTGATTGCCTCAGTTTAGTACTAGCTCATTTCCAGGAGATGTTGGTCTTTTTGCCATTGTAGGCAATGTCACCTACTTTCCTCCTGCTTGTTGGATAGCAGTTTGGAGAAGAATCAGTTTAGAGCTCACCAGCCACCATTCACATAACAAATTTTATACAGGTCAAATTGCTGAACAAAGGATATTGAGGAAAACAGATTATAGCATGTCCTTACCAGTAAAAGTTATTAATTGGCCGTGGGTGTTGATTGTGTCCTTGAATGAAGTTTATATTGCTCTTTTGGTTGTTTTTATCTAGGAGAAGATAAGGATAATGTTTTTGCCAGTTGTGAGTGATTACCTGACTTTAACATATCATTATTTAACTTCTTCCCAATGTGAACAAGCTGATATTCGCATGAGAACATTTTCATGTGTATTTTCTGATTTTTCTCTCTAATGTATGCATTCTTAATATTGGACTAGAACACCTTATCCCTGGAGATAAATTAACGATTTCAGTAGAATCAGCAATTTGGGGGCTGTCAATTTAGTGCTTTCATGTTTCTTGAGAAGTAGGAGGACATGACTTTCTATTCTAAATGCATCTGTGAAATCCTGATATTACAGAAGCTTTGGCAAAATTTTGACGCACATGTTCAGTAAAAGCTCTCTGTGTGGGGCTTCCCTGGTGGCGCAGTGGTTGAGAGTCCGCCTGCCGATGCAGGGGACATGGGTTCGTGCCCCGGTCCGGGAGGATCCCACATGCCACAGGGCGGCTGGGCCCGTGAGCCATGGCCGCTGAGCCTGCGCGTCCGGAGCCTGTGCTCCGCAGCGGGAGAGGCCACAGCAGTGAGAGGCCCGCGTACTGCAAAAAAAAAAAAAAAAAAAAAAAAGCTCTCTGTGTTTTCCATGGTAGATAAGAAAACCTCCTCATGGCACAAGCCATAGAATTAGATCTGATCTTTGGTTATGGCCAATTCTGGCTCCAACCCCACCTCTACCTAGGAGGTATACCCTCCTCCTCTGCGGTCAGTGCAGCTGTCACCTGACTGGTGACCAAAGAGGCTGGCTGTGGGGACGAGGATGGGGAGAAAGGCGTTTCTTTGAAGCTCAGGTGTTTAAATCATCTTTAAGCCCTCCCCCTGCCACCTCCAGTCACTTGCACCAAGGCCTCTTTTCCCTCTCCCAAACACATTCCTTTGAAATTTCTATTCCCTTGTACAGAGCAGGCCTTGACCATCATTTAAACCTGACTTCACCTAAGGCAGCAGGGGGCAAGTGGGAGCACAGTTTTTTTCTCTCTCCAGCCCAGAACCCCATGGGTCTGGCCCTAGGCTTTGCACCCCTTCAGGAGTGACTAAAAATATAAGCTCTCCTCATTTTGGTTTAGAGCTAAGAGTCTAATATAGCAAGAAGGAATAAGAAAGCACATAACCGGCCACTGACAATCTCTGGGTTTACCAACAGCTTGGCTTTTCCCTCTTTCCTTTGGCTTCCGCCTTCACGGGTAAATGTACAGCGTCTTTGTTGACCAGCACGGCAGCCAGTTGCCACGTGTGGCTATTGAGCACTTGGAATGTGGCTGGTCCACGTTGAAATGTGCTGTAAGTGTAAAATATACGCTATACAAAAAGTTTAAAAATGAATAAAATATTAATGATTTAAAATATTGATTACATATTGAAATGATAATATTTGGGGGGTTGGGGTACAATATATTATTAAAATTAATATCACCTGTTTCTTTTTACTGTGGCTCCTAGAAAGTTTTAAGTTACATTTGTGGCTTGCATTATATTTCTATTGGATTGTGCTGTTATCAACCCTGTTTCAATTTGTAGAGGATTTGGGGGGCCTAAGTTTGTTATTTATACTCAGTACATTTCTAAATTTATAACCAATTTATAATTATTATGTACTTATTAAAATTATAGAATATATAGTTATTTTATATGTATAAAATTAAAATATAAAAATAATTTTTAAAAAAAGGAAAACGACTCAGGATTCACCAGCAAGAGGTGAACGGGAAGATTTAAATGTGCTCATTCCCAAATGTACTCATTCTCTGTCTCCATTTCCTGAACTCATTTCAGTTTTACATGCAGAGCTAAATCAGAATGGTCAAAAGAAATTTAAAAAAAAAAAGAATGGTCAGAAGAAACCCACTACATTCTGGTTTTAATTTCTGCACTCTGAGCTATATCAGTTTGCTCTGGACTTTAAGAGAGAAAGAAGTCCCAGTTTTGTGACACCTTGAGGGAAAGGAGAGGAGGTTCATGGTACCTTCTCTTCTAATGTTTGAAAAAAGAAAAATGAAAGAAAAGGAGAGAAAGTGTGTGTTTCCTGGTCAATCACTCTGTCATTTCAAAACCTTGCTAAGATGGTGCTGGTTTGGGTTGTGCCAGCATAAATACTGCTCTAAACCTTCTCTCAAGGACACAGGCCAACTCAGTATCCCAAAACCAGAGTTTGGTTGGTTTCCGCTTGACAGGTGTGCAGGGTCTCTGGTTTCAGCTGGCAGAGGCAGTGGAAGGGCGGGAATACCACAGAAGCACTCTTGTTGGGTAAAGGCTTTAGGTGACACAGAAGGAGGCTTGTCCTAAAAAGTCTCTGCTGGGCTCTGTTGTTTAATGGTTTCATCTCTAAAACATCTTAAAGAAAAAGCTTATTTTCCTAGCATTCTGTGTTACAAGGACAAATGTGGAGACCTGACAGGCCTGATTTTTAGCTCAGACTCTGTCCCTAATTAAATATGTCTTTGGACTTCAGTCTCAACATCAGTCTCCCCACGTGTACAGTGGGAATAATCATGCAATCTTGTGAGAATTAAATGTGATCATAAATGTAAAGGGCTTAGCATAGTATTTGGCACATAGTCCATATTTAGTAAATGTTCACTGTAGTTACTGTTGCCTTAATTCTTTGTTGAAGACTTGCACATGAGGAAATGAAGCATCTGCCAGAGGGGAGGGACCCACCCCAGGAAAAGCTGAACCACCTCTTCAGTGGTTCCTCCAAATGGAGGGCTAGTTTGGGCCCATACAGACCATGAAGTCTCTGTGAAAAAGCTGGAGGTCCTGAGGAGTTTGGGTCAACTTCCCCAGACCATGGGAGTTGGGACAGTTCTGGAGAACCTGATACCGGGGCCAATCCTAGGAGTCAGTTACTCCAAGGAAACCCAAAGCAAAAGCAGAAGCAGACCCGGGATCAACCTTGGAGTGCCCTGGGTCTGGCCTTGGCCCCCAAGACTGATCAAGTGACTGCAGGTGCATAGCCCCGTCATTCAACTCTCAAGTCCTCCCCTGGCCATGCCTGCTTTCCCAAGGCTGGCAATCAGAATTAGAATGGCCTGTGTTCTGAATGGAGAGGGAGGCCAAGTTTACTGAGTGTGCCCGTGCCAGTACCCTTAACACTGAATTTGTGTTGCAAGGACTCTTGGGCATTTGCCTACCTTTAAGAGACAAGGCTCGGTCTACATACTTCATTCAGAAGGAAGAGCGCACTTTTCTTCCCAGCCAGTTGATTGTATGGCATAGATAGACCTGTGTCTGTTTTGTTTCTGATTCTTTCTGTACCCAATAGCCATAACCATTGTTTAAGATTTTTTTTTCTTTTCCTTTATTTTAGACTTAGCCTCTAGTTCTTTACTTCCATACCTACTATCACCTTGTGTTACCTCTTCACCACCTTTCCACTCTCCTCATCTCCCTAACACTTACATTACTGGAAACATTTGGAAGAATATAGCGAGGGCTGGCTTGTTTATCCTGAATTTATATTGATTAGCTTTTTTATGAACCCCACTTTAGTGGGGTTTTTTTTTAGTTTTTTTAATAGTTGATTTATTTCTGCTGTATAGCAAATTGATTCAGTTATACATATATATACATTCTTTTTCATGTTCTTTTCCATTATGGTTTATCACAGGATATGTTGATTAACTTTTGACCAAACACTAGAGGTTTTGATCTGGGTAACCTAAGAAGCTGAAGAAAAAGACATTGGCATTCATTATCAATGCCTTTTTTTTTTTTTTTTTTTATCCCGGTACGCGGGCCTCTCACTGTTGTGGCCTCTCCCGTTGCGGAGCACAGGCTCCGGACGCGCAGGCTCAGCAGCCATGGCTCACGGGCCCAGCCGCTCCGCGGCATGTGGGATCTTCCCGGACCGGGGCACGAACCCGTGTCCCCCGCATCGGCAGGCGGACTCTCAACCACTGCGCCACCAGGGAAGCCCTATCAATGCCTTTTGATAGCATTTATGTGACTAAATAGATACGGGACCACAGGTAATGATCTGCAAAAGGCCATTTGAAGATAAGGGGTTGCCTAGGTCACTGAAATATTGAACTTCCCTTTCCAACCTATAGTTGTGATTTGTTATATTTCAGGGGGAAAATATCAAATACACAAAAAGACTGGAAATTCTTTGAGGTGAGTCACTTACGTTTAGGGGCTCTGCTCTTTGATATGAAACATGAAGTATAGCAACAAGCGATAGACATTTGTCAGGCACCTGTTTTTAATGAATATCCTTTCTACAAAGGATACTAATAAGCTGTGTGCCACTCCTTAAATCTTTGGTCTGATTTGCCTTCTGCAAAGGTGAGTACATGTATAATTTTCCGCAGCCCTTCAGGCATGTGGAGAGAGCAGGGCACCTGGGTTTGCGTCTGCTCAGTAGTGTTCTATAGACGGGTGGGAGCTTTTCATGTCGTAACTGTGGGTTCCGATTCTCGTCTGTTTCTGTCGTAGTCCTTTTATACTTTCTGTACGTATGTAGCCTGGATTGTCTTCCGACGTCAACACTTCACAGAGATTGAGGAAGAAATAGGGAGGCTCTTTCGTTCCGACATGTTCAACATTCCTCGAAGGAAGCGTGAGGATGAAGAGTCAGGAGGGGAAAAGAAACGCATGACTTTTGTACAATTCAGGTATGACCTTTTGACTCTCCTAAGCTCAAGGACATTTCTAGAAAACAAGATGATGTGACCTAAATGTCACCCCCACCCCCAGGAGAATGATGGCAAAGCGCCCAGCGATGAAAAAAGCCATTAACATGCGCTCTCCAGTCATGTCTACTCTGCTGCCCTCTCTCAGAGAAAAAGCTCAGAATATCTCTGACAAAAAGTACCGCCAAGCAGGCATGAAATTCCCAGTCTGGATGCAAGAGCACAAGGAAAATCTGGACTCTGTGCACATGCCAATGTAAGTGGCCCAAGGAGAGAGGAAGGAGAGAAGGCTGAGTGTTGCTTCCTAGGTGGGACCCAGGAGGGGCAAGGGCTCAGACATGGTGCCTCTGCCAGAAAGCTGAACAAAGCTGGAAGCATCGTCTTCCTACCATCCCCTGCTCCTCTCAACGTGTTTTCTTTCCAGATCAGCTCTTGGTATACCCATCTAGACTAGAAAAAACTACAAAGTTATGCTAGACTTCAAATAGTTCTAATTTGGTGAAGTGAGTAGCAGACTTTGTAAGACTGAAGTTTTCCTGTTAGAAGAGTCATCTTTGGGAAATAAGGGAAGGACCAGTACAAAATCTTGCTATGGGTCGAGTTTTTGAACCCATATTTAAGAAATAGATGTGTGTGTGTGTGTGTGTGTGTGTGTGTGTATCAGTCTTAGTTTTATACACATGCACAAGTCAGCCATATACTGGGTTGGCCAAAAACTTTGTTTGGGTTTTTCCATAAGATGTTACAGAAAAACCCAGACAAACTTTTTGGCCAACCCAATACCTTAGTCTTTGGCCTCAGCAAATATTCAGCTATACCAATAATTCTTTCCACAGAGTTGGCATCCTGGGGGAGCCTCGATGTCAGTTCAACCCCCATACCCTTATCCCCCTCGATACAGAGGAAAGCATGAAGTCTGGGGGACAGTCTTCCATGATAGAAAGAAATAACATGAGGATTCAGGATACACTGGACTCAGTCATGAGAAAGAAATAACATGAGGATTCAGGATACACTGGACTTAGTCATGAGAACGCTGTCCTCTCAAACAACATTCCCTAAATAATCTGTACATTCCATCTCTGTAATTAATTCCTGTATTTGAAGTAAACTACTTTGACTTAATCACTTTATACAGGACTAGTGTTTATTATTAAACTTTAAAAATTGTTCAAATTATTTTGTTAAAAGTTCAACAATAGACTAAAGAATTCCAGAAAGCTTTTGAAAACCTCCTTTTCCTATATTTAATAGTTTGCTTTGTTATTTATTTACTTCCTTGGCTTTTACATGACCATTTAGAGTAATGTATTAGGACATTTAGTCAGTGTTCTAGTGAAGAAACATTCTGTTTATTCATTTCTAAATTCCTTTTTGTTTCATGAGAGAGTGTAATTGGTACATTTGAAAACAAAATTTCATAAAAAGGCAAATTAAATATTTTTAACATTAAATCTCTTTCTGGGGCTTCCCTGGTGGCACAGTGGTTGAGAGTCCGCCTGCCGATGCAGGGGACACGGATTCGTGCCCCGGTCCGGGAAGATCCCACATGCCGCAGGGCAGCTGCGCCCGTGAGCCATGGCCGCTGAGACTGCGCTTCCAGAGCCTGGGCTCCGCAACGGGAGAGGCCACAATAGTGAGAGGCCCGCGTATCGAAAAAAAAACAAAAAACAAAAAAAAACACAACTCTTTCTATGGCTATATTATTATTGGCATTGGGATATAAAGTACATCTGACTCATTTAAAAGCCTTTTAGCATATATGTTTCATTCATTTTTTTCATTTATTCATTTAACAACACATATGTTTCAAGCCCCTGCTCCGTTCAAAGCCTTGTGCTGGAAAATGTAAGGAAAAAAAGTCATCAAGACAGAGACCATATCCTCTGGTCTGAGTAGTAGAGAGGATCAGTAAAACACATGCCTGCTAATGATACAACATTGAATGTGTTAGAGGCCATTAAAGAGGTAAATCCAAGTGCCCTTTGAGACAGATCAGTAGAGCCCTCACTTCTGGGGGAATCGGGAGCATTGAGATTTGAATCTGGTGTTGCAGGGACTGGGTGGCACTAAAGGGGGACCGCCAGGCAGAGGAAGACCATGTGCAAAGGCACAGAGATGAAAAGGTATGCCCTGTGACCGAGGAAGGCGAGAGCCATGGGTGTGCGAGGGGGGAGGTGTGTGAGGGGGAGCAGAAGAAAAGCGGGCTACAAAGGTCAGCCGAGCCTCCACATGCCCCACCAGGGAGTGAGTTGGATATTATTTGGTAGGCAGTGAAGCTTAGGGCCCGCTGATGAAACCCTTTCATTGGCTGCTGATTGTATAGTATCATCATTTAAAAAGTCCTATAGGAGTTTCGCCAACTAAAATAACTGGTCTGAATTTACCTTTCTGTGGCCACGGGTTTATCCCCAAACTTCAAAAATCCTCCTTTCTGCATTTAGCTAAAAGTTCGTTTAATGGAAAAAACTGGATGCTTTTTTCCAGATTTAATATCAAGAGCAGAGGAACAGCAGCTCCAGCCTGTCGATCATGTGGGGCAGCTTCTGTTCAACAGGCACTCTGTCTTCACTCTCATCCTTTATGTTCCAGGTCAATTCCTGTTATTCCTGTTAAAACTGCAAAGTTTTTAAAAACCAAAATCCTGAGGCGGGGAGAAAAGAAAAAGAAAAGGAAAAAAAAAAAAAAAGGGGGGAGAGAAAAAGAAAGGGGGGAAAAAAAGAAAAAAACATCCTGGACTATGAACGAACCCTTCTTGGACTTTTTATTTACATAGAGCATTTGGTTGCACACTGTCATAACAAATTTTTATCTAGAACATGTTGACATGGTTTGATTTTTGGGTTTTTTTTTTTTTGATATTTAAAAAAATAAACCCTGGGAATTGTGGGACTTTTATAACTGTCTTTACTAGGGCACCAGGCTTTTTTTTCCTGCCTCCTTTCTGACCTGTGAGGCTTCAGTGTACTTCATTTATTAATTCCTTCAACTGTTGATTCATTTTTTCATTCTACAATTGCTATATTTCTACTCTGTGTTAGGCACCCTGTTTGGTCCTGGAAATTCAGTATGGAAAAAATATAGCCAGCTCTGACTTGGAACTGACAGTCTTGGGGAAGACAGATAGGAAATGAATACTCAGATAATGAACTAATTGCAATGATGATGAATATTGCAAAAGAGAGGCCTCATCTGCTTCCAGTATGACTCAGGTGGTTATTGGCAGGGCTGAGTTCCTCACAGGCTGTTGGACTGAGGCCTCGGCTCCTCGGAAGCTATTGGCCCAAGGCCTTTCTTAGTTCTTTGCCACACGAGTCTCTCCAAAAGGAGTTTGCAACATGTCAGTTGGCTTCATTAGCGTGAACAAGTGAGAGAGGAAGAGAGAATGTGCAGGCAAGACAGAAGTTAGTCACTTACAACCTAATGTTGGAAGTGATATTCCATCACTTTTGCTCTACTTTATTCACAGCAAGTCACAAGGTCTAGCCCACTCACAAGGGAAGGGGACCACCAAGGCCATGGACACCAGGAGGTAAGGCTCACTGGGGGTCATCTGAAAAGTCAGCCCGCCACACTGGCAGAAGAAACGTATGAAAGTCTTGAGGCTGGAAGCAAAGCTCCTTCAAGTTGCTGAGATAAGGCTTTTGAGGCTGTAGAGAGGAAGGGTAGAAGGATGAGATGTGGCTGGAGAATAAGCAAGAGCCCTATCATGGAGGGTTCTATAAGTCTATTATGGATACACTTAAGATCAATGTGGGTTGTTCCAGTGTGATTGTGCAGTTTTTGTCTTGCACAAAGGCACCAGCGAAGGAAGTGGATGGGGAATGAGATCCAAATGCATATCTTCACTTCATTCTGGAACTTTCCAGGTGGAGTCCCTTTTTGTAATTCACAAAGCAGCAGTCTTGAATGGGTACCCTTTAATGGTTTTTAAGCAGGTGCATTGTTAAAGCTTACCAAGAGGGTTTTTTTAATTCAAAATATTCAAGTAAGAGAACAAAAAGACAAGCTACAGGCTGGGGGAAAATATTTGCAAGGCATGTATCCGATAGAGGACTTGTATGCAAAATATACAAAGAACTCTTAAAAACAACAAGAAAACAAACACTCCAGTCAAAAAATGGGCAAAAGGTATGAACAGACACCTCATCAAAAAAATATATACTCAGGACAAACAAGCATATGAAGAGATGCTCTATGTTATTTATCATTAGGGAATGGAAGTTAAAAAAGCAATGAGATACCACTACACACTTATTAGAATGGCTAAACTGACAATACCAAATGCTGATGAGGATTCAGAACAACAGGAACTCTTATTCATTGCAGAGTCAAAATGATGCAGCCACTTTAGAAGACAGTTGGAAGTTTCTTACTTTAATTTTCTTACAGTTAATATGAAAATGTAATAGATAGCCAACACAGTCTTGGAGAGAAAAACAGTTGGAGGGCTAACACATTCTGATTTCAAACTTACTACAGAGCTACAGAAATCAAGGCTGTTTAGTACTGGTATAAGAATAGACATTTATATCAATGGAATAGAATTGAGTCCAGAAATAAACCCATACATTTATGGCCAACTGATTTTCGACAAGTGTGCCAGGACAATTCAGTGGGGAAAGAATAGTCTTCTCAACGAACAGTGTTGGGACAACTGGATATTCCCATGTAAAAGAATGAAGCTGGATTCCTACCTTACACTGTATATAAGCTTTAACTCAAATGGGCCATAAACCTAAATGCAAGGACTAAAACTAGAAAACTCTAAAATATAGGTGTTAACCTTCATGATCTTGGGTTAGGCAATGGTTTCTTAAATACGAATGACGCCAAAAACATAAGCAACCAAAGAAAAAAATTGATAGATTGGACTTCATCAAAATTAGTAACTTTTGTGCTTCAAAGAAAACTATCAAGAAAATGGGGTAATGATTGTATAGCAACTCTGTGAATATACTAAAAAAAAGGGAATTGTACATTTTAATAGTGAATTTATGGCATGTGAATTACATATCAATAAAGCTGTTATAAAGAAAAAAGTGAAAACACAATTCACAGAATGGGAAGAAATATTTGCAAATCCTATATGTAATAAAGGTCATGTATTCAGAATACATAATGAATTCTTACAGTTTGACAATAAAAACTAAATAATCCAATTTAAGAATTGGCAAAAGCTTTGAATAGACATTACTCCAAAGAAGATATACAAACGGCTAATAAGCACATGAAAAAACACTCAACTTTATTAGTCATTAGGGAAATGCAAATCAAACCCACAGTGAAATCCCACTTCACACCCACTAGGATGGCTATGAGCAAAAAGTTAAAGAGCAAGTGTTGATGAGAATGTGGAGAAATCAGAACCTTCACAACATTCCTGATGAAAATGTAAAATGATGCAGCCACTTTAGAAAACTGCTTATCCGTTCTTCAAAAAGTTAAGCATATACCATATGACTTAGCAATTCCATTCTTAGATATATACCCAAGAGAACTGAAAACATATGTTTACACAAAAACTTGTACACAAATGTTCAAAGAAGCATCATTCATAATAGCCAAAATAGTGGAACAAACCAAATGACCAACAATTGATGAATGAATAAACAAAAATGTGGTATATCCATGCAATGGAATATTACACAACCATAAAAAGGAATGATGTACTAATTCATGCTACAAGGTGAATGAAGCCTGAAAACATCATGCTAAGTGAAAGAAGCCAGACACAAAAGGCAGCCTATTCTATGATCACAATGATATGAAATGTCCAGAACAGGGAAATCCATAAAGACAAGGTAGATTAGTGGTTGCCAGACACTAAGGGGAGGAGGGAATGGGGAGAGACTGCTAACAAGATCTCTTTTGGGGGTGATGAAAATGTCCTGGAATTAGATAGTGCTAATGGTTACACAACTTTGTCAATAGACTATCACTGAATTGTACACTTTAAGAGAGTGAATTTTATGGTATGTGAATTATATCTCAATTAAAAAAAACAAGGAAAGTCTGAGAAATTGCCACATGATGTTTAAATCTAATCTAGTATCCTGGATAGTATGCTAAAACAAAAAAAAAAAGGATATTATGTAGAAACTAAGGAAATCCTAATA